ACGTCAGACCTATGCACGCAGCAAATAAAAAGAAATGTGCATATGAGTGAAAAATGGGCCAAATGATAACCCTCCCACATATCACAGAAACATGGAGTGTTTGTGTGTTATTTTAAACAGGCTTTGCCGTTTGCATCTTTCATGCTACACTGATGTGAATAATTCATGTCCCCACTGTAGATGTGTGCAATATTGTTACTCGCATGAATCAGAATTTGTAGGTTGGCTTTTATTTAAGGGCTTTAACACCGAGTACTGCTGAGCACTGTCAGTCCCCATGGACCTAATGGTATCTTAGGCTCTTAATTAATTCAGCTCAGCAATTGACAGGATCAGGCCCTGACCGACAAACGCAGACCTGCACGCTGTCAGGAGCCACATCATTCCTCGTGTGTCTCCTACATCTCTGTTTGCTTTGTGCTAGTGTCTAACACCCAATCCTGACTCATATCGTCTTTAAAAACACTGTTTCATATATTTCATAGGAAGCAGAATTGAATGTTTGCAAAGCAGAGACAAATGAAGATGTTACTATAATCTTAATTATATAAAGATGTCAGTGCTTTTGTAATAAAGCATTATTTATCCAGGAATAGCAAAGGTTGCTATAAAAACCACAAAGCCAGCTTTTGGGAGAAGATAATAGATTTCAATGTGTGCAACTCTTGCAGGTTAATTGGATTTCCTTAATGAAATTCCCCTCAGCCACATGAAATCCTTGAGTTTGTTCTTTGAATTTCATTATGACTTGCAGAGTCTTCTCTGCCCCCAAATCAAATGCAATAAAAACACGGGAGTTGGCTTCACTTCAGTGTCTTATGAGCACTCACATTTAATCAAAACTTGGTTACAGACACCTTGTCTTTCAGCAGCTTTGAAGGGGAATTAGCTGAGTTTACCTGACACTCCTGAGTGTGCTTTTACTCCTAAGTGTGTTTTAACTGTTATTGCAGTGCTCAGTAAACAATTGTGTCAAAATACAGACCCAGGTTTCACCAACATGTACCCGCAGTGTTTCGTTAGCAATAATGCCTGGTTAGAAGTAGATTTACTTTTAAGTAATCTCCTGGAATTCAAAACAGCTCTAGTTAATTGCAAAAAGGCCTTTTTAATCTGGCTGGCTTACTTAACGGCACACTGCTCCACTCTGCCTGTCACTCTCATTTCCTGAGTGAAAAAGTGAATGGCAGCTTCAAGCTCAGGATCTTTTAATCATTAAAAGAAATGGATGTGCTGTCCTCTGTTGGTCATACTGGTTGTCACAAGTAAAATTGAATTTAAAAGGCAGGCAAGAGGCTGTTAGAGCGACAAAAAAAAAGAAGAATATGAAACTAAATTAAATTTTCTTCACCTTCTGCATTCACCAATAACACTGCACAGTGTAAGGGATTTTTTTTTTAATTATGCAATGATAGAAACTGGATTATGGAGAGGACTCATTTCACATGACTGTAGTACAAATTCTGCCCTGGCACTCCCTGGTCCCCTGCTGCTGGGTCACCCTCTGTTCCCCGGCGTGTGGGTGCCACAGTGAGCTGCAGGTGCCCTTGGGAGCCAAGGCTGCAGGGGGTGCGGTGCTGGCAAGCACGTGGCCACAGAGATTTGGAGTTTAAATTTCATATCCCCCGGTCTGGTCTGGGGACAGGGCCGTGTGTGCCGGTCTGCGCTCAGTGTGTGAGCCATGTGCTGGTCAGTGCTCAGTGTGTGACCCATGTGCCGCTCAGTGCTCAGTGTGTGAGCCGTGTGCTGGTCAGTGCTCAGTGTGTGACCCATGTGCTCTGGTGCCTCAGTGCTCAGTGTGTGACCTGTGTGCTGGTCAGTGCTGTGTGTGAGCCGTGTGCCGGTCAGTGCTGTGTGTGACCCATGTGCCCCTCAGTGCTGTGTGTGACCCATGTGTCTTCAGTGCTCAGTGTGTGACCTATGTGCCCCTCAGTGCTCAGTGTGTGACCTACGTGCCCTTCAGTGCTGTGTGTGACCTGTGTGCCCCTCAGTGCTGTGTGTGAGCCGTGTGCTGGTCAGTGCTCAGTGTGTGACCCATGTGCCTCTCAGTGCTCAGTGTGTGACCCGTGTGCCCCTCAGTGCTGTGTGTGACCCGGGTGCCCCTCAGTGCTCAGTGTGTGACCCATGTGCCCCTCAGTGCTGTGTGTGACCTGTGTGCTGGTCAGTGCTGTGTGTGATCCGTGTGCCCCTCAGTGCTGTGTGTGACCCATGTGCTGTGGTGCCTCAGTGCTCAGTGTGTGACCATGTGCCGCTCAGTGTGTGACCCATGTGCCCCTCAGTGCTGTGTGTGACCCGTGTGCCCCTCAGTGCTGTGTGTGACCCGTGTGCTGTGGTGCCTCAGTGCTCAGTGTGTGAGCCATGTGCTGTGGTGCCCTGGCAGCCGGGCAGCCCCTGTGGGCACGGTGGCGATGGCAGCCCGGCCTTTGCTGGGCCGTGTGATGCAATTCCCGCTCAGCCTCTGCCTGGGAGCCCTGCTGGGTGGAAATGCCCTCTCTGAGCTCTGCTGCTAAGCCTCGCTGGCTGCTCACTTCAACAGTAACGTGTAGCATCTGGAGAGGATTGGGGGATTGTAGCAAGGATGATTAGAGGTGTAGAAAACCTGGCCTAAAAGGAGAGATTTTTAAATTTGGGCATTGTGTTGTCTAAAAAGAAGAATGTTGAAGGCAAATAGCGCAACACTGAAAAAAGATCTAACATCAAGTAAATGAATCCATTGTGGCAGTAGACCCGTGTGATATGTTAATTATTTCTACCTCCTAACGCTTGCTGGAGTTACTGTTTCTGGGCTGCACAAGTTTCTCCTAGGCTTTGAGTGCACAGATAGTTTTCTAATTACAAAATTAATTTCAAGCAGATAACCACAAGACATGTCTTAAAATGTTACTTAGCAACATTGTTATCATGCTAATAGTTCAGCAATGTTGCTCAACAGAATGTAAACTCTGTCTGCACCCTGGAAAACAGGCTGTGTTACCTGATTTCTGTGTCATCTAACACAGACTCACAGGCCTCAAACCATCGTTAAGAGGGTCAGACACAGCCACAGCTCTTGTGCATACCTGGCTTTGTCCTATATCATTTCCAAAAAACAAGCACAAATTTATGAAAGCTTTACTCATCAGTGGCAAGGTGTCTCATCTCCACCCTCCCTGAGAGGCTTATCCTTGACACTGTAGTAAACAGAAAGCAGTATTTGTCAGATATGTGTTTTGTCCTTGAGTTTGATTTTTTCATTTAGTTTTTACAACCCTCCTATGAAAGTAGTTTCAGGGACATGGATGTACCTCACTGTCCTTTGTATTCCTAAGTAAAAATACGTAAGAATATTTACAAAATCCAGTGTAAATAGTTAAGGACATTTATTTCTGTTCATACAACAAATATACAGTTTATATTCCTGACAACAATGGTGCAGAATATGAGAGGAAGATTTGTCAGGCAGAGAACAAAATTGATTGTGTAGACAGAGTGATCAGTAAAATTTCAAATGGTAAGTAAATATCAAACATGAATCAATAAAGATTTCCTTCAATTAGTAATTCTTTTCTTATTTACACTGTTAGGATGCATTTATGTGCTGTCAACCCTTAACTGTGTGTTAAGGTTTGGTGCCTGGTGCCATCAGTGTCACTGAGCTGGACCTCCTGGCCACTTGTGGTGCTGCTGGATCAGCTGTGTCCAAAGCACTCAGTGTTTGTTTCACTGGAGGAGGGGAGCACTGCTGGGCTCCTGTGAGCATAACCACTGCACCCTTTCCTTATCCATTTTCAGTGTCACAGGGAGGTTTTTCCTATTAGAAAATAGGAAATGTAAAGTACAGACTAATCAGATTGCAAAGAATCCTTCTAAGTGGTTAGTGATAGAGGTGAAGAAACCTCATGGTTTATCAATCAGAAGAAAAAATCAAATTAATAAATACTTAATTTCATGGTGGTAGGGTGGGGTGAACCAATGAAAGGGAACTGGGGGATTACAGGATGATCTTGATAGCTGCAGCCTCTGGAGAAGACTCTCTTCAAACAAGAATTTGAAGGAGCTGGAGGATCTCTTCAAACAAGATCCTGCAGAGGCTCCACTTGTTTCTCCCAGGAATGACTGTGTGATAAGGTAGGCACGAGCACTTGCCTCAATAGTGTTGTGTGGGAAAAGCGTTCCACTAGACCTCCGCACTCGTCTTGGCCTTTCGCATTTCAAACTATTTTTTGTTTCTTCAGGCTGAGCTGAGGGTCTCTTGAAAGCAGGATTAGAATCCAAGGAAAAACGAAGGAAAACTGTTCTGCTCCTGCGGATGTGAGCAGGGCGGTCATGCGACCGCTGAGGGATGGGCAGGAATGACCGATGTAGAGGCAGACCTGGCACGACATCCACCAGAACAGACCAAAACCCTTTGCTGGGGCTGGAGGAGGCGCTG